CTGCAAGAGATATCACCTTCCTTCCTCTTTCCTACCACCACTGTGGCAGTGTCCAATAAACCCTCATTTCCCCCTCTTCGATTGCCAACTGATTGTTCTCTCCATTTTGGTATTGTACTCTTGCGTGCAGTATTTATGAGTTAATATGAGCATGTCTTTCTTTCGGTCTTGCATTTCTCTGTAGCATTTTCTTCCTCCTTCCTCTCCTTGTACTGTTGTAAGATAAAAAATGTGCTCAGTCTTAAAATTGCTACAGTAGTTATCCCCTCTTTATATTTGCTTTGTGTGTATAACTATCCTTAAAACAATACATTTAGGTTACACTTTACATACTTCTAAGGTCTTATTCCTGTAATACCGAGTTTAAAAAAAAAAACTAAAAAAAAAACTTGGGCCGGGACCGGTTTGGCTCAGTGGTAGAGCGTCGGCCTGCGGAGTGGGAGATCCCGGGTTCGATTCCGGTCAAGGGCATGTGCCTTGGTTGCGGATGCATCCCCAGTGGGGGGTGTGCAAGAGGCAGCTGGTTGATAATTCTCTCTCATCGATGTTTCTGGCTCTCTGTCCCTCTCTCCTCCTCTCTGTGAAAAATCAATAAAATATATTAAAAAAAAAAAAAAAAAAAACTTGGATTGCCTAAGGGCAAACAGCATTTCAAATCTCCATTTTGTATGCTGGTAAGTATAGCAGCTCTTTTAGAGGGTGATAGAGTTTATATTTCACTTGTTACTTTCCCCCCTCCCCCCATTTACCCTGTATTGGAAAAGGGGATGTAGGTAATGGAAATGTAGAGATGCAGTAATTTAAAGATTTCTGCTGAATATTTTCAGTTTCTTCTTATCCCAGTTATTAAAATCTATGAAGAATGGTCCTCTGGTTTGTGAAAGGAAAGTAATAGTGCTTCCTGGAATTTAGCCGCAGATGTATATGCAAAGGTTTCTTGTGTCTTACCAAGATTGTGTCCTTTTAATAACAAAGATCTTAAGTAGGTATCTTAAATATTTATTAAACTCTTCCTATGGGACAAAATAGGCTGCTGGGTGCTTGTATTGCACTGGACACAATACAGTAGTCTGCCCTTCTTTATGAAGCATGCATTGTGTTAAGGGAGATCAACATTAAAAGAATTACTTTAAAAATTAATTATAGTTGTGATAAGTACTATAAAGAAAAGAATAGGAGGCCTTGCCTAATCACTTAAGAGTAGGGAAAAAAATGAGTAAAAGTTAGTTAATGGGAAGGAAGGAGAATGCAAAGGCTCAGTGCAAGGCATATACATTTAACTTCAGGCAAGTAAATATTTCACTGAAAATGAATTAATGCCTTTACCGAAGGATCTTGCTATTTAAAGAAGTCTCATGGCAGATTATTTTATAAAATAAATCTTTTAAGTGAAGTCAGATCTTCATCAAGAGAATTTGTTTAAATGTAACTACAATATTTCTCATAAATGAAATATCCTGTGGCACTTATAGAACTCTACTGGGAAGTTTTTGCTACTCAAGGAACTGCCTTCAAGAAAAATGTAGAAGTCAGTAGTTACTGTAGGATACCCCTACTGGTTCTATTAAACTTCCTAAAATTGGTCCTAGTACAGTTAAAGTTGCTACAGATAACCAGGGAAATTTGACAAGCAAACTTTATTTTCAAAGTTCCCCCAAGTGTATTTTCATATAAATGGTTTTACATGCTTTATACCAAGTGGAGCAAAAGTCTGTTTACAGTTGTGAGTATGAAAAAATTCATTATTATATTATTATTATATTAATTTACATACAAACAACTGCAAAACTACTTTTGTCCCACACTGTACATAGAGGCTATGTTTTTCCCAATTGATTTAAAGTAGCTAATAAAGTTAATTCTATTTATTTCATTTTTCCTCCATTTCAGTTTCATCTTTTCTTCCTTACCTTCCATCTCAAAATTTTTTTTACCCTCTAGCTAACTTTATGTGTGCATGTAAGCCAGTTAACTGGAGACTTGCTCTAGCACCTGTTCTTGCTCACTGCTTTTTCTTTATAAGTGAACATACTTAAAATTATATTAGTTATCTGCTTATCCTCCTTTCCCATCTTTCTCAGATTTTAATTCATACTTTCTAAAATTCGATTAGTGTGGTATGCAGTCTAATTTTACATAGTTTATTAAAATGTTGATACGTGTTTATTAAAATGAATATTAGAGTATTTAATGGTTCCATAGATGATATAAATTTTCCTTTATGGATTAAATTTTTAAAATATATTTTATTGATTTTGTACAGAGAGGAAGGGAGAGAGATAGAGAGTCAGAAACATTGATGAGAGAGAGTCATCGATCAGCTGCCTCTTGCACACCCCCTACTGGGGATATGCCCGCAACCAAGGTACATGCCCTTGACCGGAATCGAACCTGGGACCTTTCAGTCCCCAAGCCGACGCTCTATCCATTGAGCCAAACCGGTCCCGGCTGGATTAAATTTTTAAAGCTAAATAAAATAATTGCTATTCATATGTTACAGAAATTGAAATTTGTTTTAATTCTTACCCATACTAAGACACCTAACACTTATTTATTTTTCCTTAATAAATTTAGGTTTGATAGGGATACACTCACAAAGACTTTTTTTTTTCTGCAAAGGCATTTTAAAAAATTACTTCTCTTTTCTCATTACAAGATATGTATTTATTGTAGAAATTCAGAAGACAAAAGGTATGTTCAGATCTTCTGTAATCCTGTCCCTGTAGGATCCATTCCTCCAATTCTTTTTTTTTTTTTTCCAAATTTTTTAAAAATATATTTTATTGATTTTTCACAGAGAGGAAGAGGGAAGAGAGTTGGAAGCATCAATGAGAGGGAATCATCTATCAGCTGCCTCTTGCGCACTCCCTACTGGGAATGTGCCCACAACCATGCCTTTGACCGAAATCGAACCCGGGACCTTTCAGTCCACAGGCCGACGCTCTATCCACTGAGCCAAACTGGTTTTGGCCCTCCAATTCTTAATGTTCACAAAATAGCATAGTGGAACTCCAAGGTGATTCTGACCCAGATTGAAACCCAGTTCTGCTACTCCTTGATGTATAGGGAAAGTACCTTGATTTCTCAGACCCAGTTTCCTTTATCCACAGAATGGAACTAATAATAGAACCTATCTCAGGATTGTTAACTAGAAACTGAATTGAGTTAAAACCTATAAAGAATTTAGTCCACTACCTGGGCATATTATTAAGAATTCAATAAAAAAATAAAGAATTCAGAGACCAGTTTGGCTCAATGGATAGAGCGTCGGCTTGGGGACTGAAGGGTCCCGGGTTCGATTCCGGTCAAGGGCATGTACCTTGGTTGCGGGCATATCCCCGGTAGGGGGTGTGCAAGAGGCAGCTGATCGATGACTCTCTCTGATGGATGTTTCTAACTCTCTATCTCTCTCCCTTCCTCTCTGTACAAAATCAATAAAATATATTTTTTAAAAATTAAAATTAAAAAAAATTAAAGAATTACTAAAATATTACTGAATAACATTAACATTTGAATATATATGTGATAAGTACCCTTTTTGCCATGTGATTTTTTTTTAATTCATTTTTAGAGAGAAAGAAGAAGAGAGAGATAGAGTGATTTGTGGTTCCACTTATTTATGCATTCATTGACTGCTGCTTATATGTTCCTTGACTAGGGCTCAAACCCAAAACCTTGGCATAGGTGGACAATGCTCTAACAAACTGAGCTACCCTACCAGGGCTACCATGTGATGTTTTAATAGTAGATAATACCATTTAGGGAGTGATTCCCATATTCTAGGTGCATATATTATTTCTGTTCCTCAAACAGCCTAGTAAAGCAGGTATTAGTAGCTTCATTTCATAAGGAGAGATTAACTTACCCAAGGTTTCATAGCTAGTGAGTAGTGAACTTGGAATTTAACTCAGGACAATTGAACTACAAAACCTCCTATCCAACAATCAAAATTTGGAAACTACAATTGGCACCTCTTCCAGGTACTCTACTGTGGTACTCAGTGGAGATTCCTCTCCTCACCTGATTACTTGTCTTACTGTACTAATTATGTATTCCTTTATTATGAAAACCCACTGTTTGCTCAAAATAAGGACCTTCTACAAAGAAATACCAATAATAAAGAGATAGCAAATAAAAATACATAAAATCCAGTTAAGTTTGAATTTTAGATAGACAACAAATAATGATTTAATAAATGCAATATTTGGGAAATAGTTATGCTAAAAATTGGTTTATCTGAAAATAAAATTTACCTGAGCATCTTATATTGTATCTGACAACCTTATTTCTCTTCACAGCTGCTATTTTAATATTTTTTATATAGTACTAATCAAGAAAACAGGATTATAGTCAGGAAGATAATCTTTGATTTGACTATTACGGTCCAAAATGCAATGCCATTATCTGTAACATTTTGAATAATAAAAAGGAGGAAAAAAATTTTGACTCAGTTTTGCTTTTTTCAAGCATACTAGGAGAAACCTAGAATAAGAATTAGGAAATGTGCATGTGGTTTCAGCTCTGGAAGTGGTTCTGGAATAGTTACAGAAAGCGTGTGACCCTTAGTTGTTTCCATTGAAACAATTTGAACTAAATATTTATTAGACCCCTATGTAATTCTGAAGTTCTACAATCCTAAATATAGATTACATGAAAGACCACATATTTGTAGTCAAATAGTACATTTTAAGAGTTTAAAAATATAACTGGAAAAAAATAATAATTTGAAAATACTCTGATTAGCATTTGTGGGAATGGTTTAAAAACTTCCAAGTATTACAAACTTACATAAATTTACACCTATGGTATGAAAAAAATGGAATTTGATTTTAAGGAATAATGCCATATAATTGTATTTTCAACTTTGAATGAGAGAAGAGATTCCCCCCCCCCTCATTATTAGTTTAGGATTTAGATTTGGAAGGGACTTCAGAGTCAATAAATCAGATCCTAACTGAGATGTGAACTCTTTTTGTCTCCATTAGCACCTTGTAGCCATCATGGCAACTTCATCTGAAGAAGTCTTGCTGATTGTAAAGAAGGTGCGTCAAAAGAAGCAGGATGGAGCTCTATACCTCATGGCAGAAAGAATTGCTTGGGCACCTGAAGGCAAAGATAGATTTACAATCAGCCATATGTATGGAGATATTAAATGTAAGTCATATTTGTTAGTAATTTTAGAAGATTGCTTATAAAAATCTTTGTCGGGTTTTTTATTTTAATGTCCAAAAAAAATCAACCACATAAAAATAATTACAAGCTGGGATTGCTGAATATACATTAGTCTATAAACTGCCTTTTGCACTTAATAGAGTGTGCGTATATATAAAACTTTACATATGTAAATCTAGCGCATGTAAAGATATCTATGTATTTCTTTTCTTTTTTTCTTTCTTTTTTTCTTTTTTTTTTTTTTTTTAATTGATTTCAGTGAGTAAGGGAATCAAGCCTATAATCCAGGCCTGTGCTCTGACCAGGAATCGAACTGTAATCACTTGGTTCATAGGTCAATGCTCAAACTCTGAGCTACGCTGATTGGACTATCTATACCCTCTCTTAAGCATTGCATAATAATCCACCAAATGGGTGTATAATTACGTATTTAACCAGTCCTTTGTTGAAGGACATTTAGGAGGTTTCCAGAATTTGTTGTTGCAAATAGTGTTGTATAGATTTGTGTACTAAACACCTTTGTGAGGTTGTATGTATGTGGGATATATCTCTGCACTGGCTTTACTGATTCAAATGGTTCATGCACTTAAAATGTTGATACATGATACCAGATTGCCCTTTAATAAAATTGTATCATTTAAGCAAGTTATCTAATTTTTAGTTATGTGGCTATTGTCTATTGAGAAATAGTTAATTTTATACTGACTATAGATGAACTACAGAGCCCATTATTTCTATATTCTTTTTCTCTTTCCAAATTAGCAAGAATAACTTTGAAATATTACCCAAAAGGTTCAGTACTCTATGGCTCAATAATAATTAGGTTTAAAAAACCAAGCGAATCCTGAGGTTGAGGATCTTTACTCTGAAAGAGAGTTCTGCAATTTACCTACTAAAGCTCTTTAATAAGAGTGGCTCCAAGGAAGTCTGGGCAACAAAGTCCTTGACAAATTGTGGTTATCTTAACTGTGTCTATTTATATGGGTTTATTTATTTTTTTCATGGATATAAAATTCTTCATCTGGATAAAAATGTGCATAAGTTTCAAGAAACATGACACCTCAAAAAATAGACAACTCTCAACTTAGAAGTGCTCAATTTACAAATGTCCTTTGTGTATGAATAGTTGTTGCTGGAAATGGCCAAGATCTTCATCTTTCTCCAATGAAATAATTTAGAATCTTAATTTTCAAAAGACAATACTATTTAAAATCTATCATAATTTAGTACTGCCTAAACTATCCAGTTTTATCCACTATCCTGGTAACATTACTTCTTTATAAAACTTTGTTTCTGTGGGAAAATGCCTCACCAAGTTCCTGATAATAGTCTTACAAACTATCATTTCTACTACAGTAGACTCATATGCTAATGTATTAGCATGCTAGCTCTTCCTGTATTAGCATGCTAGCTCTTATAGATTTGTAAAATAACACTCATTGTGATACCCCCAGTGTGCAATAAAGAATATGCCTACCTTCTGCCCTAACCGGTTTTCTGTCTGAAGGGTCCTGGTTTTGATTCCAGTCAAGGGCATGTATCTTGGTTGTGGGCACATCCCCAGTGCGGGGTGTGCAGGAGGCAGCTGATCAATGTTTCTCTCTCATCAATGTTTCTAGCTCTCTGTCTTCCTCCCTTCCTCTCTGTAAAAAATCAATAAAATATATATTTAAAAAAAAAAAAAAAAGAATATGCCTACCTCTTGTATCTCCACAATTCTAGACTATTGGGGAGGAGAACACATACCAAAACCTAGAACTGTACCAGATCATTTTTCATTTTAAGTTGAATCTTGATAGAATGCCCATTTCTGAAACTATTGAAAGTTATCAATAATAGATTACTAAGGGGAAATTTAGCAGTTAATCTTGTTTTAAAAAAAACTTCAGAAGTAGGCCTCTCAGAAGCAAGAGCTAAGCTAGAGCAAGGATAAAGCAGTGACTAAGAAAAGAAGCTTAGAAGTGATTATTTTGGAGAAATTGGATACTGGGACAGACTGGCTGACAGTGTAAATTGTTTCATATTGCTGCTTCTGGCAATAAGATATTTCATCTAAACTGTTGGTCTGGAAGCAGCATCTTCACTGAAAAAAGTTGATTTGGCCTGAGAATTCTAGGCAGCATGTTCTTAGTACCATGAATTACCCACTTAATGGGACAAAGCCCCTTCAATCTGTTTCCTTTATAAAGACAGGCATCACTCTTTATTATGAAAATTTTCAAAGTTATAGAAAATTTTAAAGAATGGTACAACATATACTGTATAACATATCCTGCCTAAATAGGACAGTTATTGCCCTAGCCAGATTGGCTCAGTGGATAGAGCCTACAGGCTGAAGGGTAGGGAGTTGCTGTATCCTGTATCCGCATGTGAGAGGCAACCAATCAATGTGTCTCTTTCACATTACTCTTTCTCTGTCTCTCCCCCTCCCTTCCACTCTCAACCACACTGTATAGGGTTGTAGAATATAACACATTACGATTATGCCTAATTGTCTTAACGTGTAAGTGGTGGTGGTTACTTCCTATTCTGTCACCTCAGAAAGCCTGTTGTGTCAGGTTGTCCTGCTTTGATCACTTGGTTAAAGTGGTGACACCAAATCTCTCAAATGTAAAATTTCATATCTTCCTTTGCAACTTGTAAGTAAACCATAGGTCGTGTTTTGAATCATGACAAATTACCCTGTCTAATAAAGAGTGAATATGCTGCCCACTGCCAATAAGGAGTGAATATGCTAATTAACTGTCCCACCCTCAAAGATGGTGATGCCCAGTCTCCTCAGCCCCAACGGGCATAGCCACTCCGCACACCTGCCTCCAGAGTCGCCCAGTCCCCTCAGTCCCCCAGCCTCCCAAGGCCAGCCAAGGCACAGGCAAGCCTCAGATGGCAGCTGCCCAGGGCCGCCCAAGGCTCAGATAACCAGGGCCAGCTGAGGCTTGTGCTGCCAACAGAAGCAGCAGCAGAGGTGTGATGGGGCATCGCCTTCCCCTGATTTGGGGCATTGCCTTCCCCTGATTGCCGGGTTGCCTCCTGCCCCTGAGGGCTCCCAAACTGTGAGAGAGGCAGGCCAGGTTGAGAGACCACCCCCCCTTCCAGTGCCTGAATTTTCATGTACAGAGCCTCTAGTTTTTATTCATGATAATATTGATTATCATTATTGATTATCAGGGTGGTTTTAGGATTTCTATGATTGTTTATGAAGTTTTAAAGATATCCCAGTTGAATGGAAATAAAATCTCTTTAGTATCTGGAGGTGGAAGTGCCACACAAAAAGAATACTAAAGGAGGAAGCAGAGTGTTAGCAGTGAATTTATTGAACTGTGCTCTGGATTATTTGAGACAAAAGAGTGTATTTCTGATAAGTAAGTAGCCTTCTGTATGGCAATTTCCACAATATGCATGTCATCTAATTAACCTGATATTTTCTTTTAGGCCAGAAAATCAGTCCAGAAGGAAAAGCTAAAATTCAGCTTCAGCTGGTTCTGCACGCAGGGGACACAACTAACTTCCATTTTTCCAATGAAAGCACAGCAGTCAAAGAGCGAGATGCAGTGAAAGACCTTCTTCAGCAGCTGCTGCCCAAATTCAAGAGGAAAGCTAATAAAGAACTTGAAGAGAAAAACAGGTGAAGGAGGGAAAGAATAGCCTTTGGAAGAACTAGGTTCTCTCCGGTCTCATAGAATAATAGCTTGCTATTTATCATCCCTTGTACTACTTTGATTTTTTAAAGAGAGGAAGGGAGAGAGATAGAGAGTTAGAAACATCGATGATAGAGAAACATGTGCCCACAGCCAAGGTACATGCCCTTGACCCGGAATTGAAGCTGGGACCCTTCGGTCCACAGGCTGACGCTCTATCCACTGAGCCAAACCGTTTAGGGCAAGCTGTGGTATCTTTACCTCTGTGTGTGTGGTGTTTTCTTTGTTTGTTGTTGTTGTTGTTGTTATTGTTTTCAACTTTAGCTTCTTACTAGCTGTTTAGCTATGGGCAAATGAGAATGTATAAACTCAGAGTTAATTAACTGCCTAAAGCCTAACATCTGATTAGGAACAGAACTGAGATTCTTAGGTGTTAAGATTCCTTAATTTTTTTTTCTCAGATCTCTTCACAGAAAAGATACTAAATCATTAGAAGTGTGTTTGTAAATAAGAAATCTGAAGGAGCCGGGACCGGTTTGGCTCAATGGATAGAGCGTCGGCTTGGGGACTGAAGGGTCCCGGGTTCGATTCCGGTCAAGGGCATGTACCTTGGTTGCGGGCATATCCCCAGTAGGGAGTGTGCAAGAGGCAGCTGATCGATGATTCTCTCTCATCGGTGTTTCTAACTCTCTCTCTCCCTTTGTCTCTATATAAAATCAATAAAATATCTTTTAAAAAATGAAAAGAAAAAAAAAGAAATCTGAAGGAAATCATACTGTTAAAAAGTTGGTATTGTGATATCATTACTATGTCAGTACAGTTTTGGTGATATTATTATACTTAAAATCCTTTTATTCTGGGGGTGGAGGGAGGGATTGAGAAAGCATGTAAAATGATGAGAATTTCTGATAAGATGAATTCATCACCAGTATCTTTCAGCCATCTGTACTATAACTCCAAGTGCTTATCACCATAAAAAATTGCTGGAAAATCTTAAGCATGCCTCCTCTTCTTCGTTCACCTTTATTTGTAAAAAAAGAATACAGTGCAATACAAATACGGATACAATGACCTTTGTATTGCTGCGATATAGAACTGAATAAGACCATATCCATGCCCTCAAAGAGTTTTAATCTTTGCTTTAAACTTCATTTATCTACACTTTATTTGTCCTTCCAAACTGTGGGGTAGTTTTGGTTTTCTGTTTGATTTTGTTTTGTTTTTGCTTTTAATTACTAACAAATGAACTGAATGGCCTGCTTCTGCTCAATCATCACAAAATGAAAGTTGTGTGTTTCAGTATTTTGTGCTAAAGTCTTTAAAATGTTACCTAAATGGTGTTTTGTTCTAGAAGTTCAGAATATTCAATATGTTCTATCCCCAGAATGCTGCAAGAAGATCCTGTTTTGTTTCAGCTTTATAAAGACCTTGTTGTGAGTCAAGTAATCAGTGCTGAGGAATTCTGGGCCAATCGTTTAAATGTGAATTCAACAGAAAGTTCTTCCACATCCAATCATAAGCAGGATGTTGGCATTTCTGCAGCATTTCTGGTATGTGACCCTTCTAGATTAATGAAAAGAGGGGCAGAGGTTAAGGAAAACCCTGATTGTGTGTTAACAATGCCTTTTCTTTGATAAATTTTAATATTTCCTTGAAGTAAATTCATGGACATTTCCGTATTCATGGTATTCTTCTAAAATATTTTTAAATACAGTATTTTTTAAATTTATATTTTTGCTATTTTTCTTGGTTTCTGGACTTGATCCTAACATGCTGGGAATCTAATGGACTTTTAAAAAAGAATCTTTTAGCAATTGGACTAATATTTATTTCCCCTAGTACTTTCAAATTTAGGGCTTTCTGATAACTTTTATAGTTGCCATATTTTACTTACAGTAAAAGTTAAATGTGTAATGACTATCATAGTATAGAAAAAGTAAAGGTTGCAAAATGCATCCTAGAGAAAAATTGGGAGTACCTTACCTGTAGAATTAGAAAATGTCTACTCTGGTGGAACCAAAGCCATATTTACACATTTAACAAAAAGTTGAGTATATGTTTGCATCTTTCTGTGTTCTGAGTATTAATAAGGCCTTTCTTAAATAAACCAGTCAGGTAGTATTTGTTTATTTAGTAAGTAAAATACGTTATAGTTTTGGTAACTGAAGAAGTTTATGATAAAGCTCCCATACCTGTTTTTGGCCACATATAAACATGCCTGTTTGACCATGTAGAATTTTCAAGGAAGCAAATTTTATAGGTCACTAAGATTATATGAAACCAGGCTAGGCTTCTTTGTCTCTCTGCAAAAATAAAGGTGAGGGACTCTCTTTGCCTCTGTAATTCATTCAGAAACTCTGTTTTTCCACCTTTGTCCAGTGTCTGCTGTGTATTTAACACCTTTCCCCAGTATTTTAATGAATGTATATTCATTATTTTAGGCTGATGTCCGGCCCCAAACAGATGGATGTAATGGTCTGAGATATAATTTAACTTCTGATATTATTGAGTCCATATTTAGGACTTATCCCGCAGGTAAGACAAATCACTTCTTTCAGATTGCTAAAATATTTATTTGGATGAATTCAGTAATATTTCAATGAAAAAACAAAAAGTTTACTTTTTATTCCTGATCAAGTACAACAAAATATGTTAATTACTGTACCTACTGTGTTTCCCCGAAAATAAAACATCCTCCGAAAATAAGACCTACTTACAGGTTTCCTTCTGAGTGAAATATAAGGCATCCCCCTGAAAATAAGCCCCCCTCCCCCCAGGCTCTGTCTCAGAATGCTATTGCTAAACATGAGAGATTTGGTCCACTGATTGTGAAAGAAATGGAGTCACAAGAAATTCACTAGGAAATTCAGGAATTGGATTGTTAGGATGATGTTCCAGAAGATGATGACATGATGGTCATTGAATAAATGAGCAAATTCTTTTTTTTTTCTTTTTTTTTAAATATATTTTATTGATTTTGTACAGAGAAGTAGAGAGATAGTCAGAAACATCAATGAGAGAGAGTCATCGATCAGCTGCCTCTTGCACACCCCCTACTGGGGATGTGCCCGCAACCAAGGTACATGCCCTTGACCAGAATCGAACCCGGATCCCTTCAGTCCCCAAGCCCATGCTCTCCATTGAGCCAAACCAGTCTCGGCAAATGAGTAAATTCTTGATACTGTAGGATTCATAATTTGTCTGGTTTGTGTTGACAACTGCCGTACCGTTTACAGGTAATAAATTTCCTTTATTTTCATTTAACAATAAATGTGTACCATATTCTTCTTCATGAAAAAATAAGACATCCCCTGAAAATAAGACCTAGCGCATCTTTGGGAGCAAAAATTAATATAAGACACTGCTTATTTTCGGAGAAACGGTAGTTCCTGACAGTGGTAGATTTTAAAGTTTTTAGTATATAGTGTATTGTCATCAATTCATTGGTATGACGACTTTCCCATTCTTTCTATCAGTAGTTCTTAAACTTGATTTACCATTAACCATACCTGAGCAAGATAACATCCTCCAGAGGCATCAATAAATTAGTCTTTAGAGCAATAACTCAAATCATCCTTTATGCTTCCTCCAGAGCGACCTTTCTAACTTAAAAATCCTTTCCTTTGCAAAAATCATCCTAATAGGATCACCCCAGCCCTGATGATTTATGATGTGCAGCCAAGGTTGAGAGCCACTGCTTTAGTCATTATTTACCAATCAGTGCTCTCTTAAGCCATATACGGTTCTCACTTCCTCACTCCTGCACCTTTAGTCCTTAGGAAACATACCTCTCCCATAAGACTCAGCTCAAGCATTTCCTCATTACCACCTCTGACTTCTTTGGACAGATATGAGCCCCCCTCCCCTTCTGTAGGGCCAGTATCTGCCTCAGTGTTATCACGTAGTAATGTAATTATTTGCATATCTTTCTGATAACTTAATAGTGCGCCAGACACCATTCTAAAGCCTCTATGTATATTGACTCATTTAGTTGTCGCAAATACCCTTTGAAGTAGGTACTATTATAAAATATGTTAAATCTCTTGGTACAAAATAAGGTTTTGTTTGTAATTGTTAAGACTCATAAAGGTAGGACCTCATCTCTCAAGTTACATTTCATACTTATAAGTAGATTATTATATACAGAATGTATAGTTGAACAGTTTTATAATCTAGTTTTTGCTATTTGTTTATATTTCAACTAATTTGAGGTTTTAAGAAATGGATATGTATCATGTAACTGTTATGATTTTTCTTCCACAGTAAAAATGAAATATGTAGAAAATGTTCCCCACAGCATGACAGAAAAGGAATTCTGGACACGTTTTTTTCAGTCCCATTATTTTCACAGGGACCGGCTGAATACAGGGTCAAAGGACCTGTTTGCAGAATGTGCCAAAATAGATGAAAAAGGTAACTGTTTACCCCTGACCCACTCTATCATTTATTTTGCTGTTCTCTACTTATTATTGATGTTAATAATGAAATTTTTAATTTCTGAAAAAGGTAAGACTTGATCAACTTTTTATTTCATTTATTTTCTAGGGTTAAAAACAATGGTTTCTTTAGGAGTGAAAAACCCACTACTTGATTTGACAGCTTTGGAAGATAAACCGTTAGATGAGGTAAGTTATAGTAAAATGATTTATGAAAGAACACAGACTCTTCCTTGTCTTCAGCCTTTTTATAATTCTAAAATTGCCTTACGTGAGGATGTTTTACTTGTGAGACTATAAACCAAACAAAATACTGTTATCTTGAGTGACTTATCAGAAGTGCTTTTCAGTAGTACTGTTCACTATTAAAATTACTTGGAAAACAAATTCCTATATGAGTTGCTAAAACTTTTTAAAAGAATTTTCTAGCTCTCCCATCAACAATTCTCTAGGTAGTAATGAAAGCTTAACATATTGATGAGTCTGGCTTTATGCCCTAGCTAACAGTCTCTAGTAATGTGGATAAATATTAATAGACAAGGAAAGGGTAAGCTTTTGCTGATGGCCCATTATTTACCCACCACGAACTCACTCATGATCCTAACCCACACTATCCCCAATATGTTTCAACAGACACACTTTCAAATATGAGCTACCTACCTTAGCATCATAACTCTAGATTTGCTTCCTTATCCAGTCATAGGAAATGAGGTTATATCTTCTAGTCAAACCTACTATCTATATCTTCTAGAGTAAGAGGAAACTGCCTTTTCACACTCATACATTTTAATTTTCTTGCCCTTTTTTTTGCTCCTTTTCAGCTGGCCATATACACAGGCTCCCACCTACCTATCTTTTTTTATTTTTTTTTCCTAACTTTTCCTCTAATGTCAAATTAGTGTATTCACTCACCAAGTGAGAAAAACAATGTTAAAATTTTGTCCTATAACCTAAATTACATATTAATAGAATGTGATTTTTGATATGCATGTGAGTCTCTTCCATAATGAAATTAAGCTTTCTCTTGGTGATTCTTGATGATTCTCAACATATTACAAATAGGACCCTCTTAATCATCCTGACAAAATGAAGTTAGGGAAGCTTAGAGATTACAGCTTACTTTATATGATGAGAAAAGACATTTTAGGGATTTTATATATATATATATATATATATATATATATATATATATATATATATATATATAGAGTATATTTTTACATGCATATGTGTAACTTTCTTCTTCACTTTGCCTATTACCAGTATCAGGCTAAGCTAAATATACCATAATCATTAAGTTCATACACTTTAAAACCAAATTAGCACTTGACTCTGATGACTCAATGGATTGAACATTGTCCCATGGACCAGGTTATGGACTCAATACCCAATGTGGTATGTGCAAGAACCAGCCATTCAGTGATTTTTCTCTCATCATTAATGTTTCTCTCTCTCCCTCTCCCTCTCCCTCTCCCTCTCCCTCTCCCTTTCCCTCTCCCTCTCCCTTCCCTTCCATTCTGAAATAAATAAATAAAATTTTTTAAAAAGAAATGTTGGTTGATTCCTTTTTTCTTTGGTATCTCTTCTTCCCCTGTCATCCTCTAGTTATTACTGTCCCAGGATATTGTCTTTTGGGCTCCTCCTGAATACATTCTCTACTTGCCGTTGCTTAAAATACTAAATAAGCCCTAATCGGTTTAGCTCAGTGGATAGAGCCCAGCAGCATTCAGCCTGTGGACTGAAAGGTCTCAGGTTTGGTTCTGGTCAAAGGCATGTACCTTGGTTGCGGACACATCACCAGTAGGAGTTGTGCAGGAAGCAGCTGATTGATGATTCTCTCTCATCGATGTTTCTAACTCTCTATCCCTCTCCCTTCCTCTCTGTAAAAAATCAATAAAATATAAAAATAAATAAATAAGAATCCCAAATAGCGCACTGGTCTGTCAATCCCGGAACTCCAAAATCATATATCCTACTGACTACTTGATATCTTCACTTAGTTCACAGATATCTCAATGTAACGTCCAAATGGAACTTTTAGTTCCCATCATCTTAAACCATTTCTTCCTGGGTCTTAAGAACATACCATGGACTTGATAGCTCAAGAACATATTATGAACTTACTAGCTCAAGCCAAAACCTAAAGGTCTCCTTGATCCCCCTCCCTCCCATCCTTTATCTTCAGCATTCATTTTTGTGTTAACAAATCCTCTACAGTCATCTCTAGTCTGTCTACATCTCTTGACCTTCAGATACTTACACCCTCTTGCTGTAGACTGCCACCATCTCTGGCTTTCATTGTTTGCATTGGCCTTTTAATTGATCTTTCTAATTCCACTTTTGTTGTCATAAATCATTCTCTCTTAGGAGTGTTATAAATAAATTCAGAATGTTCTACTATGTAAAACTCTTCAATTTCTTTTTATTGAACATAGAATAAAATCAAAATTCCTACAAGGCCCTTCTTGATTTGGCCTTTACCTTCTACTTCTCAATTTGGACTAGTTCCTCATTCTGCTCTAGACATAATGACCTTCAGATCTGTTCCAAGCTTTTTCTACCCCAGAGTCTTTACACCTGCACCTGCTGTTCCTTCTTCCTGCTCTTCTACCTAACTAGCTCCACCCATTTTTCAGATATCTGTTCTAATGTCACTTTTCCAGAGAGACTTTTTCTAACCTCCCTATATAAAATAGTTCCTCTTCCCAATCCAGTTACTACATTATTGCACCCTCTTTTTTGTTTTGTTTTGTTTATAACATTTGTCTCCAAATACCCATTTTACAGAGCTAGCCGAGACTAATATTGGAAAAGTGATGAAGTCAGAATTTTATTTCATCGCTATCTGACTTCAAAAGTCCACACTTTTTTTCACTGTATTTTGTTACTTAATATTTTGCTAAGTCCAAAATTGCTCTTTGAAAATGCAAGTTAAGACTTTTTGTTGATGGTAAACGAGTAGTGGTATTTCTTAATTTTTGTGTGTATATTGTCATTTTTAAATGTTAGCCTATAAATATTTAGTAGTGTCCCTGTCATACAGAAATTTTTTTTCAGCTAAATACGTAACATAAGAAAATTAAAATTTTATTTTGATTTTTAATCTACTGAATTGTTTCTTGTAGGGCTATGGTATATCTTCTGTGCCATCTACTTCTAATTCTAAATCCATAAAGGAGAATAGTAATGCTGCCATCATCAAGAGATTTAACCATCACAGTGCCATGGTCCTAGCAGCAGGTCTCAGGAAACAGTTAAGTATACATGCAAGGTGCAGTGACTGAGCTTTCCAAGATAGTCAAAATGAGTTGTGTTTCTGTTCTGTGGTTTTTAACATCAATTTCTTTTTCTTGTTTTTAGAGAAGCACAAAATGAACAAAATGGTGAGCCCAGCAGCATTGATGGAAATTCCAGAGATGCAGACTGCTTTCAGCCAGCAGTCAAAAGGGTATGGGTAAAATGTTGGGAACTTTAGGGCTTAGATTTCTCCAGATACCTTATGTATAACTGCTAATACTTTATGTGACACTTGATTATATCAAATGACTTAGTTCTTCTAACCAACACATTAAGCATTTGGCTTAAATTGAAGAAATTTTTAAATTTGGCTTGCCAGCCAGCTTCCATGGACTCAAGTCTGTTAACTGTTGTTATTGCTTGTGTTTTCTCATGCACATACTGACATATAGTTCTGTTTTCTGGGAAAGAGTATTCAACAAAGGCAGTGTGAGAGAAAGAAAAACTGAATGTTTGTGTATAATGTTTTTAAAAGATAGGATTTGGCCCTCACATTAAACCTGGCATCTGAAGGCTAAATATGTCTTTTTATTATAACCTCACTGAAGAATATGTTTTGATTTTAGAGAGAGAAAGTGAGAGAGAAATATCAATGTGGGAGAGAAACATCAATTGTTTTCCTCCTGTATGCTCCCCATCAAACCTGCAACCTTTTGGTGTATGAAACACTCCAAACAACTGAGCCACCCTGCTAGGGTTATTACTTTGTGTTCTTAAGTTCCTCCCTTTATTGTAAAATAAATTACAATAAAGCTTTCTTATAGGGTAATATGTATTGACATTTTAAAAGTTTATGTCCTTAATTCTACTTCTGGACTTTTTTTTTTTTTTTTTTTTTTTTAATAAAGATGTGCAAAGATTTAGTTACAAACGCTCATTGTAACATTACTAGAGGCCCAATGCACTAAATTCATGCAAGAGTAGGCCTTCCTTCCCACCCAGCTGCCAGCACCTGCTACTCTCTGGCTCCCAAAACCCAGGCTTCCCTCACAGCCCCAGCTTCACCTGGAAGAACGTCCGGTCTAATTAGCATATTATGCTTTTATTATAGATAACAGAGAAAATGGCAAACATCCTAATATCTGTGGTACAGCTATATAATGAAGATCACTGCGGTCATTACGGACTTTAAATAGTCTAATGATATATTGAATTAAAAATAGTTAATATATGCCATAACAGTAGTTCATTCTATAAAACATTAAGTTCAAAAAACTCTTTTGAGTTGCCTAAAATATTAGATGGTGGGAAACAAAATGAATAAGACAGTTCTTGTATTCAAAGAGTTTAGTGTCTGTAGGTAAGCCAAATATAAAAAATAATAATAATTACAAAACAAAATTTAAAGTATACTAGTTATTTACAATAGGAACCAAAGAGAATATAAAATGAATGAATGAACAGAATAGAATAGTTCACAGATCAGATTGTATACGATAATTTCATGTGGGAAAAAGAAGTTTATGGACTTTAAAAAGTCCTTTAAAAGAGTAGGCTAAATGGTAATCTTTCTGTAAAGGGGTTGTGAGTAAGTCTTATACTTTAATATATTTTGATAATATGTTTGTGTAGGTATTTGAACCTTTAAAATTAACAAAGCCAATAGGAAATAAAGTGAAACTAAAATGTAAGTTATAGGTATTAAAGAAGAAATCTAGGAAGTGATGCTTTACTTTGCAAACTCTTGCACTAAGTAGAGTCAATTTTTGATAGTCAAAGAGTTGTCACAAATCACTGTGTGGATTTTCACAATGTTGAATAATAAATGCTAATTCTAGATATTCTTTGAAGTCAAGAGTTGCCTCTGTTCTACAAAGGATTTTGTAGGATGAGAGATTCAGAAATATTGGTAGAGTTCTTTCATACTTATGGAGCTTTCAGTTAAGTATGAAAGTGTGACTTAACTATGCTCTGGCAGAAGTTTAGGATTTGGATTATTATGGGAGGTTTGATAGGGCACAGCTTAGGTAAGGCAACAGCAGGAATCAAAATGAGCTTGACATATGTGAAAAGTAATGACATTAATATGCCTTGAAGTTGGCTAAAAGGTATGAAGTTGAGGAAGTATAAAATAGACTGACTCTAGGTAAGAGGTAACTAATGGATGTATTACTCTGAATATGCTGAAGTCAGATTTATTCCTATACTACAAGAGAACTACAGAGTCTTAAAATAGGGGCAATTTAAAATACTAAATGTTCAAATTGACCTTTTTGTGATAATATTTAATAACCTAGAATGTTTTGATCCTCACCCAGTATATGTTTCTCTTTCCTCCTCCTCAAAAATCAATCAATTTTAAAAAGGAAATTATTCTTTAAAAAGAGTGCATAGTCTAGCTGGTTTGGCTCAGTGGATAGAGTGTCAGCCTATGGACTGAAAGGTCCCAGGTTCCATTCCGGTTAGGGGCATGTGCCTTAATTGCAGGCACATCCCCAGTGAGGGGCATGCGGGAGGCAGCTGATCAGTGTTTCTCTCTCATCGATGTTTCTAACTTTCTATCCCTCTCCCTTCCTCTCTGTAAAAAAAATCAATTAAAAAATAGTAAAAAGAGTTCATAAGTAAATCCAAATATTTGGAGGAATTAAATATATGATAAACATAGCATTTCAGAATCAGTGGCAAAAAGATTATTCTACAAATGGAGTTGGGAAGACTCATTAATAATTTATTAAAAGAAACTCAAATTACCTACTTTACTCCTTATTCCAAAATAAATTCCAAGTGGATCAAAGATTTAAGCAAAAATTAATCCACAAAAAAAAAAAAAATAAGCAAAAAGGGAATAATTGAAAAACAAATACTAAATTGGAGAAAAAGTATAAATTAGTAATTTATGGGGAGGGGGGTTAAAATACACATTTTTACCTACAAAATTGTCAAAAATTAAAACTTTAGTAGTAATTAGAATGGTTGGAGTATAGGAAAACAAGTGTTCTTTCTAATTGGTTGGTGAGAAAATGGGTTCAACCACCTATACAGCATCAACTCTAGAAATGAAGTTCATGGTATGAAGACTTCATACAGTTTTACTCTATCAGTCATGTTCATTACTTTTACAAGGAAAAGTTATGACTTAAAATCTGTGTTAATAATTATAGGCGAAGTTACAGGAGTCCATTGAATATGAAGACTTAGGAAAAAATAATTCCATAAAAACGATTGCACTAAACCTCAAGAAGTCTGATAGGTAAGTTTGGTTAATATTAAATTGAGACAGGATAGTTGTGTAACACAAGTTATTACACAATATATTATAGTATTCAAATTTTATTAGTTTGTTACCATAAAAGTACAGTATTCTTTTTTCTTAAAAATGTACTTTTGGCATCTCAGGAAAGGATCCTAAATTATCAAAACCAAGAAAGTAAATTTTGGCTCTCTGTGCTGTTTTCATCTTACAGTCCTTTTATGAAGTAAATCATTTTATTGAAATCTTGTTATCATTTTTTGCTTTGAGGGAATGTTATAATTGAGACTGCTAAAATATTTAAAAGACAAATGTTGAGCACCTTTATTCTGTGTAATTTCTTTCTTCTTCGCTAATGTTTAGGTATTATCATGGTCCAACTCCAATCCAATCACTACAGTATGCAACAAGTCAGGATATTATTAATTCTTTTCAAAGTATTAGACAAGAAATGGAAGCTTATACACCCAAATTAACTCAGGTGGGTTGTTTATATTGTTTGAAAACCAGAATACACACACACACACACACACACACGATTACTTACTTTATGTGCATAACCGAATTCAACTATATAACTAATATTTTAATTGTGTTTAAAAACATATTTCTACTAAATAAATTGAAAAAATCAAGAGATAGAGAAAAAGGGTATTTGGCTTATTCAAGAAGCATCTGAAGACAAGATGATAATGAAAAATAATGACTTTTGTGATTGCTAATTTTTCCTTCCATATACACAATCTTTACCAAAAGATTTTGTTGGTAAAATCTTTCCAGAAAAATCTTCTGGTCATCACTGTAACTATTCTGCATGACCTCAATATATAAAACAAATATATACTACATTATCTATTCTTCATTTTCCTCACCCTTATTTATACTTTAGTTGATTATCAATTTCTGTCAAGCCTTCAGTATTTTTTTATTTCATCACCTTGTTTTATACCAGTTTTATACCCTTTAATACAGTTCCTCATGTTGTGATGATCCCAACCATAAAAATATTATCGTTGCTACTTCATAACTGTAATTTTACTACTGTTATGAATCATAATGTAAATATTTGTGTTTTCTGATGGTCTTAGGCTCTACAACAGCGGTTCTCATAGTGCTGGGTACTTGTGGGTGCTCATTGAGTAGATAGGTCAGTTATGTCCCTGAATGTTGATACTGACACAATGCAGAATACATTCTTTCCTCTTTTAGCTAAGTATATTCACTTTTTTGGTAATAAATGATGTATTTCTGCTGTGTTGGTTCCCCTTCCTCAGCCCTACCCTCAGCTGCCAACAAGGATACATGTTGCCGAAACCAGTTTGGCTCAGTAGATAGAATGTCGTTCTGCGGACTAAGAGGTCCCAGGTTCGATTCCAGTCAGGAGCATGTACATTGTTTGCGAGCACATCCCCAGTAGGGGTTGTGCAGGAGGTGGCTGGTCAATGTCTCTCTCTCATCCCTTCCTCTCTCTAAAAAATCAATAAAATATATATATTTTTTTTAAAAGGATACATGTTGTTTTACTTGTTTCTTTTCCTTAAATTCAATTTTATCTTCAATGGTAAGAGTTCATAAGTTAGGTTGAATTGGTGCTTAAGAAAAGGTTTGACAAGGCAAAAGAGTGTGAGTTCTGGGGTACCTGTGGACTTGCCTAGTATTCCTGGAAGATTGGTATGTATTCACTTTCTACACAGACGGTGTTTCTGTGTAAAAAGTAGTAGTTCGCTCTGGTTGCTATAAATTATATATTGATACAGTAGTAAGACTTACTAGACACATTGCTATAAATCTGAAATGTTAAGTAAGAAAGATGGCAAAGAAGAGGGAGACTACTTTCTATGTTTTCTTTCAGGTTCTCTCAAGTAGTGCTGCCACTAGCACCATCACAGCACTGTCACCTGGAGGAGCACTTATGCAGGGAGGGACACAGCAAGCCATAAACCGTATGTGCTCCACCACCTTCTATCACTATCTAAAGAGCAATTTGAAAGGAGGAGGCTAAACTTTGATTGGTGTTTCTTTGGAAATTTTCTGGGATGTTTTTTGTTGTAATTTTTATGCATCCAGATCCTGAAACATATCTACACAATAACTTTGATTTCAGAATTGTTTTAATTTTATAAAAAGTAACACATTCGTAGTCTCCCTATATCATCCTAAAAGCTTTCCTTTTTCCTCACCTACCTCTTAGACTAAAGGGAAACCTAAAAGTTTTCCCAGAATCCCAAAGGAATTTAAACTCTGTGATCTGTCAGACACAAAATCAGTAACATATCTCAGAATAGCACATCCTGGTTTGACATTGGCAAAGAATGCATGCCCTTCTTTCTGAAATTATGCATACGGGAAAATAGCTTTTATCCCATGGGCCTTTCTTTTGCAGAGATGGTGCCAAATGATATTCAGTCTGAACTGAAACACCTGTATGTGGCTGTTGGGGAACTTCTCCGGCACTTCTGGTCCTGCTTTCCTGTCAACACGCCGTTCCTGGAAGAAAAGGTCCGAGCCCGTTCACACACAGCCAACTGTTATCATAGTGTGACTCAGTGAGATGCTAGTGTGAAATCGGAAAGATGGATTAAGTGTTTACCATGTGACAGACAGTGGAATAACATAGCCAGCTGTTATAGTGGTGTAACTCAGTGAGGTGTTAGTTTGAAAATGAAAAGATGTATTAAGTGTTTACCATGTGACAGGCAGTGGATAACTGCTTTGCACATGTTATTTAAAATTCACAGCATCCTTATGAAGTAGGTATTGATACAGTTTTAAAGAAACTTAGGTCCAGACCAGTTCATAACATATGATCATGTATCTTAAAACTTGTATTTACCTCTAAGCCACTGGAAATGATTAAAGAACAAAGACCTAAAACAAGTCACATCAGTATAAATAATTACTTGTTACACATTTTAGGAGTAATGAAATCTAAGCTGAGATAGATGACTAGTATAGTACTAGCTGTTCAACACTAAAACCTTGTTAAACAATTAAAGGAAAGTTGGCAAGTAGAAAACTACTAATGGTAGTTTTACTATATAGATTATTCTTTAAATTTTTTAAGAGAAAGACAAATGCCCTATTAAAAATAATAGGCAAAAGGATATTAATGACAACTTAGGCCCAATAAACCTAAGAGGAAATTTTCATACTCACTAGTACTCAAAAAAAGATAACTTTGAGCTCTAACCGGTTTGGCTCAGTGGATAGAGCATCGGCCTGTTATCTGAAGGGTCATAGGTTTGATTCCAGTCAAGGGCATGTACCTTGGTTTTGGGCACATCCCTAGTAGAGGGTGTGCAGGAGGCAGCTGATAGATGTTTCTCTCTTATCAATGTTTCTAACTCTCTATCCTTCTCCCTCCTTCTGTAAAAAAATCAATAAAATATTTTTTTAAAAGAACAGTGGAAGAATATTTTCATCTAAAATCTGCAAAAGAACAAAAAACTTAAAATGATTTTTTTTTTTTTTTTTTTAATGACTTGACCCAGCCCTACCCAGTTTGGCTTAGTGGATAGAGCATCACCTGCAGACCGAAGGGCCCCAGGTTCAGTTCCAGTCAAGGGCATGAACCTCAGTTGCAGGCTCCTCCTCCTGGTCGGGGCTCGTGCAGGAGGCAGCCAGTCAATGATTCCCTTTCATCATTGATGTTTCTATTCATCTATTTTAAATGATTACTTGGATGAGTGTGTAATGACTGAAAGATGTTTATATTAAACCTAGTGAAATTTTAAAATAGTATGCACTGTGTATTTTCTGCATATATACTTTTATACACATGCACAAAAAATGTCTAGAAGGAATAGCTAAGATTTAGAAACAACCCAAATGCCCATCAGCAGATGAGTGGATTAAAAAAACTGTGGTACATCTACACAATGGAATACTACGCCACTATAAAAAAGGAACTTTTACCATTTGCAACAGCATGGATGGAACTGGAGAGCATTATGCTAAACAAAATAAGCCAGTTGGAGAAAGATAAATATTACATGATCTCACTTATATGTGAGAGAAAATGATCATCATAATTTGATGAACAAAAATAGATCCAGAAACAAATGGCAGGGGAGGTGCAACAAAAGGACCTGTATGCATGCATATTAGTGTAACCAATGGACACAGACATTGGGGCTTGCCCAGGGTGGGAATGGCTGGGGGTAGGGGAGTGTCAATTGGGGAAAAGGGAGACATATGTAAAACTTTAGACAATTAAAAATAATAATAATGAAATAAAAAATTTTTAAATGTTGAGAAGGATATGAGTTATAGACCAAAGTGTTAGTGATCTATGAATGGTCCTATATAATAAGTATGTTTTTATTTTCTACCTTTTGCATTTTTAAAATTTTTCCTACAGCAACCATTATTTTGAGGATAGACTTCTTTTACTTTTAAATTTTTAATTATCTTCTCTGCCTGGTGGAACCAATTAATCTTTAAAAAAATAATAATAAAGTAACCTTCTTTGAATATTTTTATCTTGATCTCTATAAATGCTTTGAGATTGTTCTGTAATTCATTATTTCTTTCATCTTTTGTAGGTAGTGAAAATGAAAAGTAATTTGGAACGATTCCAGGTTACAAAGCTCTGCCCATTCCAAGAAAAAATTCGAAGACAGTATTTAAGCACAAATGTAAGGCAACAATCTGATTTTGGCCTGATTTTCTATGTAGTAAAATGATAATAACTTTGTTTTCATCTAAATGAGTAGAATACATTATTTTTTTCTTACTCAGAATACTATTTTTTGACTGTAAAATAATAAATATCTGTGAGCCCACCAATCACAGTAAGAACTAGAACATTCCGTAGGTATTCCCTGAGGGTCCCTGGCAGTTACCTACCCTCTACTCACACTCTCCCAAGGCTGTGACTAATGAGGCATTTCAAATAAGCATCTCCATGCTTTTCTTTATAGACTTACAACCTACATGTGTATTCCTAAAAAAATTATTTTTGTTCTAGCCAGTTTTGCTCAATGGTTAGAGTGTAGGACCATAAACTGAAGAGTCCTGGGTTCGATTCCAGTCAAAGGCATGTACCTTGGTTGCAGGCACCATCCCAGGCCCTGGTCTGGGCACGTGTGGGAGGCAGCCAATGGATGTGTCTCTCTCACATCAATGTTTCTCTCTCTCTGTCATCTTCTACTCTTTCTGAAGATCAATGAAAAATATCCTCAATAGAGGATTAATAACAACAACACGAAAGAAATATTTTGAAAGCCAGAGTAGTAAGCACAAACCTAGCAATGCAATGAAAGGCAAAATTGCCGCTCTGTGAAAGTAAATTCAACAGCCCTGATTGTTGACCTCAGGGTGGGATACTGGATGAGGTACTGAATGAAAAGTGTCCACTTTATGCCCAGGATTTTTAGCTTTGTTTTTAATGCAAGACTAGAGCAACCACAAAAGATGGTTTTTGTGTATGTTATGCAAATACTTTCAGAAATGATAGAGGAAATAGTTTATACAAACTTAGGACTCAGTATTTCCATAAATAGGATAATCAAAAAGAGAAGTTTTATAATTGAAAGCTGAAAAATCTGCATCAGTTAGGTTTTTAGTAAGTATACCCTAAAATTTCTAAGCTGTTTTTCTCAAAATATAACAATATTAGTTGCCAGAAAAGCAGCTTGGAGTATCTTTGTGCAGCAGGGTAAGGATGGTTTTTGTATCATTTTAGTTCCAGACAGAACTAAATAACAACACACACGTACACACACACACACACACACACACACACACACACACAATAACTGACATAAATAGGAGTTTGTTTGTTTTTTTAACTCTACCTCAGATTGGATTTAAGTCATTGACATGCTAAAAGGATTTAGGGTTTCGTGATTTTTATTCCGATACTGCCAGAATTGACTTGGAGACTTTAATAAAAGACTTGCTTCCAACCACATAAAAAATGTCTATATATTCCAAAGACATTCTATTATACCTCCGGAGTCTTCATTAGCTTAGACCAATATGGTCCTATTGACTTCTCGTTATATCCATGATGAGGGGGAAAATTTTTCTACTCAAGATACAAACTGCTGGCCTAAGGTATGACCTGGTACTTGTGTGAAGCATTGAAACCATTTAGATTTTCTATAATTTGAGTTATTATGGAATCCTGAAATGTTGGAGCTGGAAAGGCCCTAAAAAACATAGGAAAGTACTTCACAAGATTGGCTATGCAGCAAAATTAACTGCAGGAACTTTTGAAAATCAAAGATTCCTGGGTCTTGTCTTAGACCTGCTACATCAAAATCTTCAGGGGAATGAGGCATTTTTCAAATGTTCTGCAGAGCGGACATTAAAACCCAGACAGAACAGGTGAATGTCCAGCCTCTTCTGTACCCCATTATCTCAATTTTCTGTACAAAATGTGTGTGATAACCCCTTCACAGAGGGCTTGCACATTGCCTTATTGAGGAAATGCAAGTGAGCTTTGAAACTGACTCTGAAATACATGCCAGATCTGAATCAGAGGCATTGACTTCCCAGCCCAGTTGACTAAATCTCCTGCTATGTTTTTCAGTTGGTAAGTCACATAGAAGAGATGCTCCAGACAGCCTACAACAAGCTCCACACGTGGCAGTCACGGCGTCTGCTGAAGAAAACGTGAGGTGTCTGTGGCTCTTACAGGTTTTGTGAGATTGAAAGAACTATGACCTGCAGTGACTCTGGAAACCTAACCTGACAGACCTGCAGATGATCAACAGAAGTGCAAGAAACGTCTGCACCACACCAACTCTCAGAGCTGGTGCTATTGTACTTGCACATTGTGAACTGAAAGGAAAGGAACTGATTAAACTAAAAGCTGGAGAGGTAAATTAAGGCAGAACCAAAATGAGCTAAGTTGCAAATATATATATATAAATATATTTTTTAAAAAGACACTGTTTACTGCAGTTACTCAGGAACTGCTTTTGATTCATATTAAGCTGCTTTCAGAAATTTAAAAAAAAAAAAACAACACTTTTTAAAAGGGTGCGTTGATAAAATCTAAGATTTTTGTTGTTTTCTGTATAAATTTTTTTTCTAAGTTTATGGCACAGGGTACACCTTAAGTATTTCTCCTCCATCCTCCACTTGGGTCCTCGTTTGTACCGTACATCAGTGAGTTAGAGAGAGACCTTTAAAGAGGGAGACTGTTGCTCAACCATCAGGAAACAGTTGTGCTCAGAAGACATCATTGGTCCTGTGTTTCCTACGGAAATGAGAAACAATAAATGTTGCACTGAATGTTTGTGGTTTAATCCCTAAATGATAAAGAGGGAACAGAATTTGCAGAAAGTTGTGTGGGGTTTTATGCAGAATTTTGTCAGAAGACAATGGTGCTGCATGTTCTTTTGAGTGCAAATGTACATTGCTAAGATTTTTTTTAAAGATGGCATGTGCTTTGAAAAAAAATTGCATTTTTAAAGTTTAAAAATCTTATGAGTGAGAAATATAAGAGATCTTACTTATTTTCACTTCTTTAGAAAAATAAAAGATGTTTCTCATATCTCCTTTTCTCCAGTATCTGACTGTTACTATCTATGGCAAATTGATAATCATTGCTGAAAAGCCTAAATACAAAAAAAAAAAAAAGGTCTTGTTTCTGGAATCCATGCTGTGCCTTATTTTGTCCCTAATAGGATCAACTGTTTAAGACTTTAGATGTCTTACATTAAAAGTTACAGGAAAAAAGTAAAACTTTTATAGATATCTTTCAACTGTAACACATCTTGTGTTCTCATTATGTTTTATATTTACTTGGGTGCACTGCACACGGCTATTCTTTTTTAATGCCATTATATAAGTTAGTTACTAGTTACCTTTCATATAATGGCTACAGTAGGTCAAACCCTGTTCAGACTTTGAACTAGTAAAAGGAAAGAGGCAACATCACTTCTGCTTCATTCCTCCCATTTCTTTCATATCAGGATCATAATGGTATAATCCCTCAGATCTTACAGTTTTACAAATTACTTTTAAAATGGTTTTCACCACAAGCACTCTAATAGCAATGAAGCAGATAGAAAAATCTTTGAAATAGAACAGTATGGGCCCTGGACAAATAGCTCGGTTGGGTAGAGCATCATCACAATTCACCAAGGTTGCAGATTTAAGCCCCGGTTAGGGCACATATAATACAATAATCAACCAATGAATGAATACATAAGTCTATGTTTTTCTGTCTCTCCCAACTTCCAAACAACAAATCTATGTTTTTCTGTCTCTCCCAACTTCCTCCCTCTCCAAAAATCAATAAATGAAAAATAGAAGAGTATGTCTGTGGGGAAGGCAGATGTAAAGAACAAAATACTCTGTTAAAGATGAGGTGATACAGTGAAGCCATAAAAGAGGAACTGGGGGAGCTGAGTCGGCTCCACTGAAGTTCAAGGTGACATTGTAGTTGAGTCTTGAAGATTGAATAGGGAAAAGAATAATGAAGGGATGAAGGCTTGGAAAGACCCCAGTGTATTAAGGGAACAGTGTATTAGATTGAAGGGTCAGTGGTGCCAAAAGGTTGGAAAATCAGTTTACATTAATGGCTCTGTATGTGAAAGTCAGAAATTGAGACCTTACCCATTAGGTAAGAAAATTTGAGCAAGTATGTTTTTTTCTGAAGGTCTTTGTGATTTTTTATTAGGGCTTTTTTGGTTAAAAGTCTGGCATTTAGGGAGGCCAAAACCTAGAAGGCTTTTGCAACAATCCAGACTGGATACTGGTCTGAATTAGAGTAGAGTACTGATAAATAGAAATAAGGGAACTGAGTAAAGGACATTCCTAAGATATGTGACCAAGTCACTCAGAGAGAAGGAAGGAGTTAAGAGATTACACCAGAGACAGCTCTCAATTTTATGTCTACTTTGCTTTTGAAATATTTGGTCCTTCGAGTCCTTTAAAAGTGAACTTTGGCCACCATTTAGGCCTGCTATGGCCTTACCTTCCCACTGTGGACAATTATAGCTTTTGGTGACTGAGGGCTGCTCTAAACCAGCATGTACCAAGCACCTTTCATTCTCACAACAGCCAGTGCATCCGATGGTGCTATAGAGTGTAAATGGTGTGGGCATTAATTTATCCAAATTCACACAATAAGTGGCAGAGCTGGAATTGACCCTAAATTGCTAAGCTTCTGTAGCCACTTAGGGATAAGATGCTTGTGAAGTTGGTAGCTTTGATTCCCCAGCCTGTGCTCCTGTTGCCTGGTTTTATTTTTGACTGTCCTGTCAGTCACTACTGGCTCCAGTTCTCTTCTGTGCTACTTTATGGCAAAGCATATTTTGGAGTTAGTCTGCTGAGTAGGTCCCATTAGCTCAGAAGGCTGCAAAATACAATATAATGAAATAGTGTCCTGTCTCCTGGAAAGAAGCATAAAGTCAGTAGTGCTAGTCTGCTTTAGATTTATACTGCAAAATGAGTAGGATACCTTGTGATAACCACAACAGTCTGGAACACCCCATCCCACCAAAAAAAAAAAAAAAAAAAAAAAAGCTTCAACCTCTATCTAGAAAGATAACCTGAAAGTGATTTCCTATTGGTGTATGTGCTGTCAGGAGCCAATAGTGGCCCTGAGGTGGAAGGCTGCCCATTTTAAACTTAACAGTTGCTGTCTCCAGTGTCAAGATTTGCATGGGATTCCTCTGCATTACCCCTGCCCTTTCCCAGTTTAGCTTCTTCAAGACTCAGCTGTTGTCCCAGTTCCTAAGACCAGGATAATCTTAGTTATTTTCAGCTCAAATTGTCCAGAGTTGGAGCATTGCCTAGAGCCTGGCCCAGGAGTGATCAGCCTTACTTTGTAATCCATATCCTTGCTTGGCTGTGTATTAAAGTTACAGAAACAACTTTGGGATCCAAACTTTGTAACCACAAAACCCTGCTTTCATAGTCTTTCACAGAATCAATCACTAACACATAGGACCAACATGGAATTGCACCTGTTGAGGCAGAACCAAAGACCCAGCTCCTCCCACCCCTCTAACAATACAGGATGAAAAACAACCCTCTCTGGCCACCTGGCAATGGCTATTTTGTTGGAGTGGTTGATAATGAGCAGGCTAAAGCTGAAGTAGGTAAATTCTGGCTTAAATTTGTTTTTTTTCTTAATTTTAGAGAAAGAGAAACATCAGTTGTCTCACATGTCCTGACTGAGAATTGAATCCACAACCTGCGTATGTGCCCTGACCAGGAATCGAACCCACCACCTTTTGATGTATAGGATGATGCTCCATCTGAGCCACACAGGCCAGGGCAATTCTGGATTAAATTTAAAAGTTTACTTACCTACCGGTAGTCATAGGAATAAATAGCTGGTAGATTTAAAGCCAACTTATTAGTAAAAGATTGTCAGATTTGATCAAAAAACAAGATTCACCTAAATGCTAGTTATAATCACAGAAATGTCTACACTTACCTCACTAGACTTGCTCTCCCATCATGTGTCAAATTCAGCTCACTAGGTGTTCCCATTTCAAGGCCTTTAGTGTCCAAATTTAGTTCTGGTTCTAGTAGCTAAATGTCTGGTGGACAGAGCAGTGAAAGTACAAGATCATTGACCATTAATGCCCATTTTTAAAAATTAAAAAAGTAGCCCCAGGCAGGTGGCTTGGTTGGTTGATTGTAGCATTGTCCTATACACCAAAGGGTTGCAGGTTCAATCCTCGGTCAGGGCATGAATAGGAGGCAACTGATTGATGTTTCTCTCACATTGGTGTTTTCCTCTCTCTAAAAATCAACGAACATATCCTCAGGTGAAGATTTTTTAAAATTATAAAAGTATATTTTTTAAAGTTTAAATAGTACTGAAGTATATAAAATACAAAATGTAAAAGGCGAAAGATTTATGCGGTCTAAACACAATGGAATATTATGCTGCCATAAAAAAAGAAAAAATTCTCATCATTTGCAGCAACCTGGATGGAATTGGAGGACATCATGCTGAGTGAAATAAGCCAGTCAATGAAAGAGAAACACCACATGACCTCACTCATTTATGGATGATAATATTATAAACTGAAGAACCAAAAGATAGATATAGAGACAGTAAAACAACAAAGCAGACTGTCAAATTACAGCGGGGAGGGTAGGGAGATCTGGGGGAGATAAGAGATCAACCGAAGGACTTGTATACATGCATATAAGTACAACCAATGGACACAAAACTCTGGGGAGGGAGGGCATGTATGAGGGGGGGGGGGGCAATGGTATATGTACAAAGATAATTTAAAAAATTAAAAATAAATAAAATTTAAATAAAAACCGAGAGAGCTCAGAAAATAAATAAATAAATAAATAAATAAATAAATAAATAAATAAATAAAATACAAAATATATCTATACCCTTACTCCCAATCTCACTTTATCAAGGTTTTCTGGACATTTTCCTAAACTACAACCTGAGAATTTTCTGGCAAAGAGACACCTGTGCACATATTCATGTGCCTTTGACAATAGGGCTTATCTCCATTTGAGGCCCTATCCAATTTTTTGTGAATTTTGGTCCTAGACATTGGTATACTGTTCCTGGCACTTGATGATACATAAGAGCAGGCTAAGCCTGGCCTCAATACAACAAGTTCCTGAAATTTTACATGTACAGTCAGATCTCTATCACCCAAAAACATTTAGACCACA